TCTCTCTTGTCGTGATTTCACCTGCTTCTACTTTCAGGTTTCATTCAGGCTTTATCCAGTCTGAATTTCTTTCTTTCTTTCTTTTTTTTTTTTTAAATGTTATCTTGGGCTGGGAAGGTATCTCAGTACAAGGCCCTGGGTTTGACTCCTCACCACCACATAAACAGAAAAAGCCAGAAGTGGTGCTGTGTTATAGCCCTAGCCTTGAGCTGAAGAGCTCAGGGACAGTGCACAGGACCAGGCCCCATGACCGGCAAAAAAAAGTTATCTTTAAGTAGTCGTTAAAAGGAGTTGCCGTTCAACAAAGCAGTGTATGCATCTTGATCAGTGTTACTCCTTTCAATGTTTTCACCCATCCCTCCCAACCCACACTTCCGAATTTCTTAAAGTTTCCTGAATATTCTTTCTTCACAGCCTTTCATCTGCTTTCACCAAGCAGTATTTTCTCTACTCATAAAACTGTCTTCTCTCCACATTGTCCTCAAAGTCTGTTTGGTCTTTATGCTTGCAACAATCTCATTCATTTAGGGATTTTAGTTTTTTTGGTTTGTTTTTTTTTAAACCTTTCTCCTTTCTGTCTGTCTTCTCCTGTTGCCCTAGAAGGAAGAGATCATTGTAAGTCTTGTCGGCTAACATAAGGTGAAGCCTACCTTTAAAGCCTGGGTTGTCATCTGGGCGCTGGTGGCTCATGCCTATAATCCTAGCTACTCAGGAGGCTGAGATCTGAGAATCGTGGTTCAAAGCCACTACAAAAAAGCCAGAAGTAGAGCTGTGACTCAAATTGTAGATCACTAGCCTTGAGCATAAAAGCTCAGGTACAGTGACCAGGATCAGCATATACACACACACACACACACTCACACACACGCAAAAAAACAAAAACCCCAAGACTGGGTTGTCTTTAAAGGGACACCCCAGTGTAGTGTACTGGCTCCTTACTACAACATGTGACTTCCTAAAACACATTTCATAGATCTCGAAGGGTCTCTGACTTTGCTCTGCTGCTGGAGACTATAAGCATGTGAGCTCTACATACTTAAGTAACTTAAGTCTTAATCCTTTTTGAGAAATTCTCTAGCCATCAGAGAAGCAGGATTTGGGGAAGGAATCTTGACGTTGGGAAGGGCACAAACACTAAAGAAGGTGACTCCAGGTTGGATTCTTAAGAGACATTCTAGAGGTCTTGATAATTTAATGTGGATGGGGAAAACCTGTTCTTGTAACTATTATAGTATCCAATTTATTGCCAGGCAGCATGCTGAGGTCTTTTCATGCTCTGCCTCATTTAATAAACCTATCTGGCGTTACCTCCATGACACAAAGGAAGAAAGAGGCCTAAAGGTGTGATTTGCCCAAAATCACTTAGCTAATAAGTAAAGAAGCTGGCACTCCTGGGATTTAAAATGTGTCTGAGATAGAGTGTGGTAGTGCATGCCTATAATCTTAGCACTTTAGGTACAAGGCAAAAGGATAAAAGGGTACAACACCATCCTGGATTCAAAAAATTAAGAAAAAAAAAAGAAGGGGGGGGAAGCATCTGTCACAATTGTACATTTAACTGGGTATAATAGTAAATGCTTGATAAATGTTCACTTGAATGAATGAAATGCACTTGAGGAGAGGATGCTGGTGGGAGGAGTGGAAGAGAGTCTGGAGGTCTAGCCATCCTAGTGGATAATGAGTTAACTTTTGTTCATGATTTCAAATTTCCAGCTCTCCAGAGAGGAACATTGATTAATTCAGTCTGTTAGTGGGGTAGGGCTTGTTAAGCTATCTTTCTTATTTTTTTTATTTTTTATTTATTTATTTTTTTGGGGGGGGTCCAGTTGTGGGGGCTGAACTCTGGGTCTGGGCGCTGTCCCTCAGCTCTTCAGCTCAAGGCTAGCGCTCTACCACTTGAGCCACAGCGCCACTTCCGGCTTTTTTTTTTTTTTTTTTTTTGCTTATGTGGTGCTGAGGAATCGAACCCAGGGCCTCGAGCATGCAAGGCAAGCGCTCTACCACTGAGGCACCTTCCCAGCCCTCTTATTTTTTTTTTAAAGGTAAGTACTCCAACATTTTAGTCAAAAGAAGCCTAGAAAAATGTTCACTTTTCTAGAATACCAAGGGAAGAAGAGGAAGACACACTTTCTTCCCTCTGCCCATCTAGGCTTCCTAGCTAATAGATGCCCTGTATGTCTCCTCTCCTGGTTCTTATTGATGAAACCAGGCTGAAAAGCAGGATGAGAGAAGTAGTATATAGTGTAGGTTATTGGTAAATTGCCTTATTCTAAGTATAAGCCAGATTTTTTAGTTGAATGAGCTTTAGGTCACCAGCAGAGAAAGGAGATTAAAGCAGGTCTGCTTGGATTTCTCTTGCAGGCTGCTTTTATTCAGAGATGCTCATTCATGATTTCATATTTCCAATTCCCAAGAGAGGAATGGTGATGAATTCATTCTATTAGGCATCTGCTTAGATCAAACAGTTGTGACCCGCAGGTCCTGTGAGAAGAAAATGACCACTGAGAGTCCTTGTCAATTTCTTGGGGTATGTGCTAAGAGAAAGATGTGAGATGAGCAGCCATCCTTGGAGTCTACTACAGAGACATGCAAGGCTTCATGAGAATGGTTCCTGTTTACTTGTTAGAAAAGTGGTCAGTGGGTTTTCATGTTAGAAAATGTATGTCTAGTTTGGGGCAAGGGTTGTTAAAAGATAATTGAGATGATCAAATAATAGGCCATACATGTAGGTGCACTTAACTCATTCCTAGGTTATAATAACCCCCTCTATTTGGTATTATTAACAATATATTGTTACAATAATAATCCTGATAACTTCATAATTTTCATAGTCATCTCTAAAGTTTGAATTTTTTGCCCCGTGACTTATGTGGAATTAGATGAACACTGAATTCCAGATGGACTCTTTTAACTGGTGGGGCAGCCAAAGAACACAGTGTACCTTTGGATGTGACCTTCTTCTGTGTATTAGCTTTGTCAAGGGCTAAAGAAAGAAGCACTTAATGTGTAAGATGTTTTCTTAATTAATTCACTATTCTCTTGGCTGTGTTTTCTGACTTCCTGGTATCTCTCTCTCTCTAAATATATTCTTTGTTTTTAAGTCATCTGCCTGAGACTGAGCACTAGTATACTCTCTGTACTTGGGCAGCATTGTGGATTGAGTTTCCAAGTCCTTTTTCAAGCACATGCAGAGAAGACTTAGCCATTTCTGGGATGATGAATGGATTACAGGCCCCTGTAAGCCATTGTATACCCAAAATAGAGATCCTGACATATTGATTCTAAGAGCTATGGGAAACAGAGCCACAAGTGATAATTCCACAATGGTAGAGCTTCATCTCTTTGTGCCAGTGTTATCATATTGAGATGAGAACATTTGTGTGAAAGGGCTCATGAACAGCTAAGTAGACAGGGACTATGTACTAATCTAGCAGTACAGAGCAGAACACACACACACACACGGTGACTCTTAAAGTGGCTGTGTGGTTCCATCTGCCATTGTATTTTGAGATTCATTGTTTTCTCATTCATTCATCCAGCCATCTAGCAACTATTGAGCTCTTATTGTATGACATGGGGCACAGAGGTGAGTAAAACCCAAACAGTCCTAGTCTTCACTGAGTTTATTTTGGTGGGGATGCTGAAAATAAGCAACATGATAAATCAATAGACAATGAGTATTTTTTTTTTTTTGGTCGGTCGTGGGGCTTGAACTCTGGGCCTGGGCGCTGTCCCTCAGCTCTTCAGCTCAAGGCAAACCCTCTACCACTTGAGCTACAGCGCCACTTCCGGTTTTCTGGTGGTTTATTGGAGATAGGAGTTTCACGGTCTCTCCTGCCCAGGCTGGCTTTGAACCACGATCCTCAGATCTCAGCCTCCTGAGTAGCTAGGATTACAGGCGTGAGCCACCAGCGCCCGGCGACAATGAGTATTTTTATCTGCAGCCTTTGTGCTTTGGCCTCTGTAGCTAGCACCCTGAAGCAGATGCCACTTTCTCAGATACCCTGATTCTGTATGGTATGGATCAGACTACCCTACATTGTGAGGATTGAATTGTTTGCTGTTTCTGTAGCACCTAGTTTACTGCCTGACACTAAACCATAGTCAGCCTTATAAAGAGGATAGAAACAGAAAGGCACTCAACTGTCACCATTTCCTGTGTATATATCCTAGAGTTGTGTGTGTGTGTGTGTGTGTGTGAGAGAGACACATGTTGGAACACTTTTTCTTTTAGAGCATTTTATTTGGTGTAAGTGCTACTGGAGGTTGAACTCACTAATTTTTGCTCACTAGACAGTTACTCTTCTACTTCAGCCATCCCTTAACCCAAACATTCATTATAATAATTTTTCCGGGTGTTAGAGAGGACTGAGCCCCAGTTGTAGCATGCTAGGCAACCACTTTATTATTAAACTGCAATCATCAGCCCTCTTTTTGTTTTTTGAGCAAGAGTCTGGCTGTATAGCCCCCACTAGCTTCAAACTCAAGATCCTTCTACCCAAGATTCCAAGTAATTTGTTTATCTTCTTCCTCTCTTCTCACCCCTCCTTCTCTCCCTTTCCCCTCTTACCTTTTTTCTCCCCCTTTCCCTTCCTTCTTCTTTTTCTCCCCTTCCTGCCTCCCCCTTTCCTTTCCCCTTCTCCTTTCCTTTTCCTTTCCCTTTCCCTTTCCTTCCCCTTTCATACCTCTTTCTTTTCTTCCTTCTTTCCTTTATTTCCTCTAATCCATTGTATAGTTATACGTGACTTAACTAGTTGCCCAGTGTTGCTTCTGTTGTTTGCACATTTCTGCAGTGATGCTCTTTATACAGTGAATATTGTCCAAACTTATTTACATGTAGGACAGAGTCCTAGAAGTGCAGCTGCTGATTCAGAGGGTTGACAGGATTGATTTGTGAAGTAAAAGTAGAAAAATGAAGCCTAGCAGTTGACTAATGACAATGATCTCCGTGAGTTTTGCTCAAAGGCAGCTTCTAATCCCACTTTTTGTTTTTAAACCAGGCTGGAGACACCATTTTCAATCGTGCTAAGCTCCTCAATATTGGCTTTCGAGAGGCCTTGAAGGACTATGACTACAACTGCTTTGTGTTTAGTGATGTCGACCTCATTCCTATGGATGATCATAACACTTATAGGTGTTTCTCACAGCCACGGCACATTTCTGTTGCAATGGACAAATTTGGATTTAGGTAAGAGATGTTTAGCTAGAGTTTATAGTGAATGTGTTACTCTTTTATATGTGAACTAGGACATGTGCTTTTTCTACCCAGCATTGTCTCTATAGACTCCTTAAGAAAATGCCACCACTGAGCAATGGCTGCTTTTTAAGTTGCCAGTTATTATTTTAGAAGGAAAAAGGAGTCAAGAATGCCTGACATCACTGCCCATCCAGATGAGAACCATTTTTAATGTTTGGGATAGCTCTTTAGGTTCCTGTTGGTTACTATATTTCCTTGCTTGCTTCTCTTTCTTACCCCACAGTGTTCAGAAAGCAATTTCTAAGCCCTCTCACCCTCCCAACCACACTGAATTCTTGAGGCTGGATGTCTCTGAAGATCTTCCTTAGCATTTTATGTTGTTTTGTTTTGTGTTAGTCCTAGGGCTTGATCCCAGGACCTAGTTGCTGGTCCCTGAACTTTTTGCTCAAGACTAGCACTCTACCACTTGAGCCACAACTCCATTTCTAGCTTTTTGGTGGTCAGTTGGAGATAAGAGTCTCACAAATTTTCCTGCCTCAGTCCTCAGATCTGAGACTCCTGAATAGCTAGGATTACAGGTGTGAGCCACCAACACCCAACTTTCACTAGCATTTTAAAAAGTAGTATGATTCCATTTCCCAGCAGATCACAAGCTTCTGCTTAAATACAAAGTGCCCCTAGTAAAGAGGCCAGTCATACTTGCCGTCAGTAGCAAAGATACTATACTCCAAACCCTACTGACATGTGGAACACACCATTGTCCATTGTTGGATCTTAAAAGTAAATAAGTAAATAAATGTGCATTTTGTTCTATGTCATACTCTTTGTTTGTATTAACATTAAATGGCATTTAATCAAATAACACTGCTTCACTTGAAGATCCAGGAAGCTATGCTCCAGGGTACCCATTCTTTAGGAATCCCTGGTTTAAGCTAAGTACCTGTATGGCTCCTCATCCTCATTGCACACACCTTTGTATAAATACAACTACCTTTTATCAGACACATTCTCAACCTTTTTTCCTCCCCTCCTTAGTCTGAAGCATGTAGGCTGTAGGACTCTCTAGAATATGTCTTCTCCCATTTTGAATAGTCAAAGCTAACTCAGTCCCTAAACTTGCTTTCATAAGGGGGGGTGGCATTTGAATATAATAACACTTTAGACTCTTTGGAAGTCACTTTTCACCCACTTACCTTTTCTCCATCTCTCTCTGTGTCTTCTTTTCTTTGAAATACACAGTTTCATACCTTAACCCCTCTTATTCTTTGAAGCATGATGATGAACAAGAGTGAGGCACAAATGATCACCCAGTTCTTTTATCACAGCACTGTTTGTTTTATAGAAAACCACTCAGGTTTGAAGGACTGAGTAAGAGAAAGCAACAGAAGTAGCAAAGTTAAATCTTGTCAATTTAGCATGTGCATCCACTGAAGTGGCTAAGAATCTATTTCTATTTAAAAAAAATTGATATCAAAAGATCTTATTGATGCCAGTCCTGGTGAGCATGCTATAATACCTGCATTGGGGAGTCAAAGACAGGAGAGTGCAAGTTCAAAGCCAGCCTAGGGTATATATTGAATTCCAGACTAGCCTGGGATCCCTAGGGAGACTCTGTCCAAAACAAAAAAGAAACGTATTGGTTTGACCATCTCTGGTTTAAGCCCTTATATTAAGGATGTACTATAGATATAAAAGTGGGAGGTGTACCAAAAAGTGGATGATCCCTAAGTGATGATACCTAATTACAAATATGTTGCCTTAGATTAAAGCAGAATCCCAGAGATCTTATGAATGTTTGTAGTTAGAACCTGTATAAAATCTTGAAAAATAGTCATGATAAGGTGGGCACTATGGTGTGTGCCTATAATCCCAGCAATGCTGGAGGCTGAAAAGGAAGGTTCATGCATTCAAGGCCAGTTTGGGGATCATGACTAGACTCTTACCACTCTCACTCTCTCTTTTTTTTTTTTATTGTCAAGGTGATGTACAGAGGGGTTACAGTTACATAAGTAAGGTAATGAGTACATTTCTTGTCAAATTTATTACCCCTTCCCTCAGTTTTCTCTACTGTCCCTTCCCCTAACCACCCTCCCCCCCACAAGTTGTATAGATCATTTTCAACATATTGTCTTGTTCTTATCGCTGTTGGATTGGTTCCCCCTTGTCCTTTCTCTCACCATTCTGTTGTTCCCCTTCCCTTCCCTAATTCAAATAAACATATATACAATACCAGGATACCAAAATCAAATACAGTTACAATAGGGGATATACCATAGAGGGAAGAACATACAAAAGAAACCAAAAAAATCAATAATAACAAAAGAAAAGCCTCTTGTGTCCATATCTTGGAGTTCATTTCACTTAGCATCATCTTATGTGGTCATATGTACGTAGATATTGAGCTACTTTGCTTATCTGCTAAGATTATCCTAGACATACACTAATTATTGCAAATAAGGGAAACCATGAGACTGTTTCTTTGGGTCTGGCTTAGTTCACTTAATATGATTTTTTTTCCAAGTCTTTCCATTTCCTTACAAATAGGGCAATGTCATTCTTTCTTATGGAAGCATAGAATTCCATTGTGTGGGTGTATGGGTATGGGTGTGTATCACATTTTGATCCATTCATCTACTGAGGGACATCTGGGTTGTTTCCATATCTTAGCTATAGTGAACAATGCTGCAATAAACATAGCTAGCAAGATCAATAGAAAGCCCATTGATTGGGAGAAGATCATCACTAGCCATACAACAGACAAGGGCCTCATATCTGAAATATATTTAGAACTCAAAAATTAAATCCCCCCAAAACGCTCCTCAAAGAAACAACCACCTCATTAATAAGTGGGCTAAAGACTTAAAGACAATAGACACATGAAATGTTCAACCTCTCTGGCCATAAAAGAAATGCAAATCAAAACAACATTGAGATTCCACCTCACCCCAATTAGAATGTCTATAATCAAGAACTCTAATAACAACAGGTGCTGGAGGAGATATGGCAAAAAGGAACCTTACTGCACTGTTGGTGGGAGTATATACTTGTTCAATCACTCTGGAAAGCAATGTGGAGGTTCCTCAGAAGACTATGCATTGAGATCCCCTATGACCCAGCAATCCCACTTCTGGGCATTTACCCAAATGATCACAATGCAGGCCATATTAGAGCTATCTCTCTTTAAAAAACAAAAAAAGAAATAACAACAACAACAACAAAAAAAAACAGCCCTGGGCCTTGAACTCTGGGCCTGAGCACTGTCTCTTAGCTTTTCAGCCCAAGGCAAATGCTCTACCACCTGAGCCACAATGCCACTTTTGGTTTTCTGTTGGTTAATTGGAGATAAGAGTCTCACTGACTTTCTTGCCTGGACTGGCTTTGAACCGCAATCCTCAGATCTCAGCTTCCTGAGTAGCTAGGATTAGAGGTGTGAACCACTGGTGCCTGGCTTCCCTGAGATTTTTTTTGCTCAAGGCTAGCACTCTACTACTTGAGCCACAGCACCACTTCTGGCTTTTTCTGTTTATGTGGTACTAAAGAATCAAACCCAGGGCTTCATGCATGCTAGGCTAGCACTCTACAACTAAGCCACATTGCCAGCCCTAGACTCTATCTCATAAAAAGAAAGAAGAATATGGAAGCCGGGCGCCAGTGGCTCACACCTGTAATCCTAGCTACTCAGAAAGCTGAGATCTGAGGATCGAGGTTCAAAGCCAGCCCAGGCAGGAAAGTCCATGAGACTCTTATCTCCAATAAACCACTAGAAAAACTGGAAGTGGCACTGTGGCTCAAGCGGTAGAGCACTCGCCTTGAGCTGAAGAGCACAGGGACAGCACTCAAACCCAGAGTTCAAGCCCCATGACCGACAAAAAAAAAAAAGAATATGGAGAAGACTGACGTAGTGGTAACACATCTAAACTTCCAGCATATGGAAGGCTAAGGTAGGGGGATCTCAGATTTGAGGCCAGTGTAGACAACAAATCAAGATCCTCTTCCCTTACCCTAGTATTCCCACAAAAAATAAAAAGTAAATTAATATCTCTGATTTCATATTTTTATCTGGTTTGGCTGACTTCTCCTTTCCAAGTCTGAGCTAGAGTTTTGCTTAATTTATGTGATAGGCTCTAGTCTCTTTGAATCTGTAAAGAGCCTAAATGTGGTATAAAGTTATATTTAAGGTTAAAACTGAAGTCCTCGAAGTAGCCACAGAAAGGCCTTACTATTTGGAAATATGTAAAAACAGGTTCATCACTATGTATTTTACTAAGTCAAGATAAAGTAGAAATTTCCAAGAAAGTTTTACAATAGCAAATTTCCAGAAATGCTGCCTCAGCTGGTTTTTTTTTTTTTTTGGGGGGGGGGGGGGGCGGGTCTGGTCGTGGGGCCTGAACTCTGGGCCTGGGCGCTGTCCCTCAGCTCTTCAGCTCAAGGCTAGTGCTCTACTACTTGAGCCACAGCGCCACTTCCAGCTTTTTTCTTTTTTTGCTTATGTGGTGCTGAGGAATCAAACCCAGGGCCTTGAGCATGCAAGGCAAGCGCTCTACCACTGAGCCACCTTCTCAGCCCCTGCCTCAGCTGTTTTTATGTATGTCTTTTGCTAGAAAGGATGGAGAGGGAAAGGGGCCTGACAAAGTGGCACAGAGAAACCAAAGCAATCTCAGATGCAGAGTTGACTGGAAGGAGCAGTCATATAAGAAAGAGAGAGTGCTGGGCTGGGAGTGGATCAGTGGTAGAGTGCTTGCCTTGCATGCCTGAGTTCCTGGGTTCAATTCCTCAGTGCCACATAAGCAGAAAAAGCCAGAAGTGGTGCTGTGGCTCAAGTGGTAGAGTGCTAGCCCTGAGCTGAAGAGCTGAGGGACAATGCCCAGGCCAAGAGTTCAGGTCCCATTACCAACAAAAAAAAAAGAAGAAGAAAAGAAAAGAAACAGAGTCCTGAGCCACAATGGAAAAACTGATTTATGCTCCACTCTTGTCACTGCCTGGTTTTCTAGGTAATCATAGAAACAGCACTATGTTCTTGAAAAGAGAGTCTACATTTTGATAATCTGAATTTTTTCTGAGTCTGATAGAAAAGCAAACTAAACAAACAAAAGCCCTCAAAATCCCCTCTCCCCCATCAAAAATTTTCAGAGTATTCATGTATCCAGCAAGCTTTCTTTTGGAAATGACAAAATGTATTAACAATGGGTCTTCTGTTTTTTCCCCCAGCCTACCTTATGTTCAGTATTTTGGCGGTGTCTCTGCTCTAAGTAAACAACAATTTCTTACCATCAATGGATTTCCTAATAATTATTGGGGCTGGGGAGGAGAAGATGATGACATTTTTAACAGGTAATGCTCACACTTCTTTCTCTTGTGTTGACCTCCACTCTCTGTTTGACTCCGTGCTTAATTGATTATTCAGGGCTTGACCCTCAGAAGGGAAGCAGCCCCCCTTCAGCCCAGATGCTTAGATGTGTGCTCTTGTAGGCTCTATAAATGCTGACCAGGGTTTTTAGGAAAATTAGCTAAAGAGATTTTTTTTCACCATTTTTATAGAATGGTACAATGGTAAGGTCATTTTGATCTGCCACATGTCAAAGGAGTAAACCTATGTCCTTTGAAAAAATTTCAACATCTCATTGTAGTCCACTTTCATTGTGAAAGTTTTCCTAGGGAAGAATCTTAATTTTCTTCACAGAACCTTTGTGCTATAGTTTTATTTTGGAATAGTTTTATCATTCACAAAGGAAGATAGAATCCTGTTACCAGTATCTCATGCCTGTAATATGAGGCCAGGATCTAAAGGATTATAGTTTGAGGCCATCCAGGATTTTTAAAAAAGTTCACTAGACTAACTCCAAAATAACCAATTAAAAGTAGGGCTGAAGGGGCTGGGAAGGTGGCTCAGTGGTAGAGTGCTTGCCTTGCATGCATGAGGCCCTGGGTTCGATTCTCCAGCACCACATAAGCAGAAAAAGCCAGAAGTGGCACTGTGGCTCAAGTGGTAGAGCGCTAGCCTTGAGCTGAAGAGCTGAGGGACAGCACCCAGGCCCAGAGTTCAGGCCCCACAACTAACAAAAAAAAAATAAATAAATAAATTGAAGCCTTGAGTTCAAACCCAGAACTGCCACCAAAAAAAAAAAAGTAACTAAATGAACTCTTGTGGATCCACCTGACCACAACTATCATGACATAGATAATCCTGTTCCTTCACATCCTGGTAAATCTGTGTTTCATTGGTTGTCATTGCAGATGGTTTCAAAACAAAACGTGTCAGTGGCTTTTCTTCTTTTTCTTTTTTTCTTTGAGGGGGAAGGGGGTGTCGTGGGGCTTGAACTCTGGGCCTGGGTGCACTCTTTAGCTCAAGGCAAGCGTTCTACCACTTGAGCCACAGTGCCACTTCCAGTTTTCTGGTGGTTAATTAGAGATAAGAGTCTCATAGACTTTCAAGCCCAGGCTGGCTTTGAACTGCAATTTCAGATCTCAGCCTCCGGAAGTAGCTAGGATTACTGGCGTGAGCCACCAGCACCCAGCTGTCAGTGGCTCGAAGCCACATTCTGTTCTGTCCTTCCTGGCAGTTGAGTCTTCACTCCCATTAGCTGCAGATCAGAAGCACATTCTCCCTCCAGGAGCCAGTCTGGATTCATCACTGAGTTAGATTCCAGAATATACCCACATGCACCTTCCTGAATTGGAGTACATTTATTTGACAATTAACACAATGTGTCCTCTAAGAGAAATACCCGTGTCAGTGTCACTCAAGGTCACCCTTATGTGAGAACTTGACATAGCCTTAAGTCCTAATATTGGCCTTGAAGGAAACTTCAGTTTTGAGTATACAGATTGGTTATCAGTCACAAATACTGTATGCAGATACTGCATACAAAACACTGCCAGGGCCGGGCACTGGTGGCTCACGCCTGTAATCCTAGCTACTCAAGAGGCTGAGATCTGAGGATCACAGTTCAAAGCCAGTCCAGGCAGGGAACTCCATGAGACTCTTTTTTTTTTTTTTTTGGTCCGGTCGTGGGGCCTGAACTCTGGGCCAGGGCGCTGTCCTTCAGCTCTTCAGCTCAAGGCTAGTGCTCTACCACTTGAGCCACAGCGCCACTTCCGGCTTTTTTGTTTTTGCTTATGTGGTGCTAAGGAATCGAACCCAGGGCCTCATGCATGCAAGGCAAGCGCTCTACCACTGAGCCACCTTCCCAGCTTCCTCCATGAGACTCTTATCTCTAATAAACCACTCAGAAAACCAGAAATGGCGCTGTGGCTCAAGTGGTAGAACGCTAGCCTTGAGCTGAAGAGCTGAGGGACAGCGCCCAGGCCCAGAGTTCAAGCCCCACAACTGACACAAAAACAAAAAAAAAACACCAAAAACCAATAACAAAAAAACCTGCCAGGCTGGCCAGTAAGGAGAACACTGAAGACCTAGACATAAGGGTGCTGACAGAAACAAACTCACTGTAGAACTACAGTTGGGTGAGCACCCTGGAGGTGATAAGACCGTGAATGATCAGGACAGTTAGGAAGGGAGGGAAAGTGGTAGGACTAGAAGAATGGGTAGTATCTGGAGCCACTTTCTTAAAGATAGAGGTACTATGAGGTACTTACTATATGGCAGACATGAGGATAATCACCAGAAGGAAGGCAAAGCCAGAAACCTGTAGATCATCTAAGGTCAGTCAGTTTTGCCATTAACTTTCATATTCTTGCTGTCAAAGATTTGAGTTTTGATCCTCATTCCATTGCCTTGGACCAACACAGAATCTTCCACTCTGCCATGGCTGCCCCTAGTTTTGTTCTGTGCCTGTTATTTTAAAACTACTTACTAGAGAGACTTCCCCATGACCAAAACCATTTGGGAAAGCACTACACAGTATATCTCTTACAGACACTGGTGATGTTCAGAGGTTTGTCCTGAGAAGGCATCTATGATTTAGGCCTTATCCTTCTTTCCAGCCTCATCACCTGCCTCTTCTATCCCGCCCCCTTTGCATCAGTCCTCAGAAGCTGGCATTCCCCATGGGCACCATGTTTGCTTTCCTTTCCATGCCTTTGCCTGTCCTTTGGGCTGTCCTGGCTGCCAAAATACCAGATCCTTCTTTAGTCTCACAACTTGTATCTGCTCATTTTTTCTTACTCCAGCTTAAATTGTATCTCTCCTCCTACTCCACTCCACTTTCCCTTCTTACCTCCAGCCTGGTACCAAAGGCCCCATATTCTTTAGCTTTTTTTTTTTTTAAGAAATCTAATTTCATTGTTATTATTAAGGTATTGTACAGAGGGGTTACTGTTTCATAAATTAGTTAATGACTACATTTCTTTTGGGGAATGTCATCCCTTCCTTTGTTTTCCCCTATTTTCCCCCTTCGATCCCTGCCCACAAGTTTGTTTTCCATATAATTTCTATTGAGTACCATGGCTGTATTTGTTCACCCTCTCTCCCTCCATTTCTGTGCCACTGCCCTTGCCAAAGGCCCCACATTTTGAGCTCCCACATTGTAAGCTCTGTGATTGCAAACACCATAATCTGCAGGATCAATCATGAAAGGTTATGGAGGAGTCTAAGTTTTACTAATACTACACTGGACCATGTCCTGCCATGATGCTGGTGTTTGGGTTGAATGAGAAAAACCTAGCAAGTAAATGGGTGGGGTAGCAATCTTGCAACTGGAGCTACTGAACCCCCTCCTTATTGGCAGCTCTGTGATAACTACTTGTCCATTTACTCTTTGCAGATTAGTTTTTAAAGGTATGTCTATATCTCGCCCAAATGCTGTTGTTGGGAAGTGTCGTATGATCCGCCACTCAAGAGACAAGAAAAATGAACCAAATCCTCAGAGGTCTGTATGATGCTCATTCTTATTCCTTCTTCCCCTTGGCAGGCTGCAGACAGAGAAGTTCTGAAGAGGGCTCTGTACCTCCAGGGAAATGGAGGCACAGAGGGTATCCAGGCAGAGGCAGGAGTTCACATGGAGGTGGAGGCAGAGTCAGGGAGAGAAATACAAATTTTCAATGATTGCTTCTTAAGATTTCTATTTTGACACCAACCATTTGTCCTTTTTTTCCTTTCTTTTCTTGTAGGTTTGATCGAATTGCACACACAAAAGAAACCATGCGCACTGATGGTTTGAACTCACTTACCTACAAGGTGTTGGACATACAAAGATACCCATTGTATACCCAAATCACAGTGGACATCGGGACACCGAGCTAGCACTTTGGTACAAATAAGAGACCTGAAAATGGCCAGGGACCTCTGTTGTGTGTCTCTGCCAGTCTGCTGGGCTGGTCCCTCTCATTTGTACAATCTGAGTCATAGGTCCCCTCACTCATCAGCAGATACTTTTCCAGATGACCAGAAGAGTGGAATATTTTGCCCCCCACTTGGCTCGACACATGACTTAGTTCTACAGGGTGTTTGTCGGTGTGAAAACTATCCACCTTTGGAGGCCTCTTGGCATGGCATGGTATCACCCAAGGAGTTAGTATTTTACACGGCTCAAAATTTGGTGACTTGTGGAATTCATTCCCACTGTTAAGTTTCTAAATTGTGAAATGGGTAAGAAGCTGGCTTTTAATTGTATTCTTTTCAACTTCATGAAAAATTGGATAGTACTGCTGAATTTAGATTGGTATGCTGTTTTTGGTTATCCTATTTTAAACAGAAAAAAAAAACAACCCACAAAATTTCAATCAGTTTCCTGTCCCTCTCTACCGTTTTTTTCCCTAGTGGTATGCAACTATTACAATTATTGTAATAGTGTGTGTTTTCAGCAAAAGAATATCTTAAAACTTGAGCCTTGAACCTTTTGTCCTGCTAATGTATGAATTCCAAGGCAAGTTTTAGCCCTGGAGCACAAACCTAGTGTGTTTTCACTTATTGTGCCTATCTCCAGATTGATTGATTTCTGAATGTAAAGATTCTTTTTTTTAAAGAAGCAGTGTGTAGTATTTTAAAGAACAAATCAAGTTCTAATTATGATACAGCTTGATTTTGTGTTGATCCAAATTTTCATAGTTGTTTGTCATTAAGTCATGACAATTTATTTTTCTGGGCATGCTATGTAAACTTGAATTTCCTATGTATTTTTATTGTGGTATTTTAAATATGGGAAGGGGTTTGAGTTTTGTTTTTTTTTTTTTAGGGGGAAAATATAATGTATGCTGTAGTGGCCACAAGTGGGCCTCTGATTTAGCTGGCAGGCCAGGATTTATGAAGAGCAAAACCACCTTTGTGTCCCCTGGCCAGGGCAAGGCTTTCCAGTCAGCATTATCCTGCCAGATCTTTGGGGCAGAGACTTGGGAGAGAGCCTCTGTCTACCAGACATAACTACCCACCTTTCCTAGGTGGGCAGGGCAGAGGGAACCTCAGCCTCCTGGAACTGACCCTTCAGGGCTCTAGGTTGTGTGGTTCTAAATAACAGTACAGCTTGTATGTTTACCATCCCTTAGCACCTTCTGTTCTGGCTGGTACTGCCTTCCTCCCAAGAGCCTCTGAACCACCCTTCCTAGCCCATCCTGTTTTACCAGTTCTTCACCTATTCTTCTCTGGCCTGCCTGTCTGTCTGCTCCCTTCTTTCCCCACAGGTTTTGTTCTTTTGCCTCTTGGCTGTTTTCTAAAACTTGCCTGTGACACTCAGGGTAAAACTGACTATTCGTTCTCAGCCTTTTAACCAGAGATCTGGAGAGTTCAGCTAAACCAACAGCCAACTCTTCCTGAGAATTCTGGTACCTAAAGCCTCCCATCCCTCTCAGGGTTTTAGCAGGTGCTGCACCTGGTGATGGTACCCACCAACCCCCAGGGCTTTCATTCACAAACCCATTTCTGCAGGGGGATGGGTAAGCTGCCTGGGGTGAGATGGCAGGGGCACTTCTAACACAGAGGCCATTGCCAGGTCCAGCCTGGGCTGAAGGCCTAAGATTCAGCCTCTTAATCCCAAGAGTTGAACCTTTTGCTTTTGGCAGACAGGATCCCAACCACTGCCCTCATGGGTACCAGCCCTGAGTGTGCAGGCTGAATGTTACCTGGCCCTAATCCTACCCGTGCCTTTATTGCTTTGAGCATCTCCAATGCCAACTTGGTTCTGTTTCCAGAAGCCTTTGTATTGATTAGCAACTATCTTCCTCTGAAGAAACACCAATTCCAACCTTTCAACAATGCTATTAAGACAGGCTGCACTTGACAAAAGTTTTGGGAAATGCAAAGGCCTTTCTTCCTGTTCCCAGACCCTGACTGTTCCAAAGTGCCTTAAAGAAAGGAGATAAATGCCCTGAGTGATAACTTTTTGTTACCTCCTTTACTATTAAAATTCTGCCTTTCCCCCCCTCTCCCCCATAGCATTTTCTTCTGTATTTTATATAATTCATTCTCGGGACCAAGGGAAATTCTGCTTTGCCTGTATCCCCGACTTTGCAGACCCATCAAGTGCTCTCAGGGTTCTTCTTCCTCCAGGCCCAAGGCTCAACCAGGGCAGGGTTTGGTCTGGATGCTTCATCTGTGAGATGCTTTGGTCTATTTCCTCACTGGGGATTTGAGAGCTGAGGATTCAGGGAGCATTTCCTTCACCTGGAGTTACGACCAGGTGTTGTCATATGCTGTGCCTTTCTCTTTCTGTCCTGTTGCTAGTAACCTGTGTGAAGTGACCTTTTGGGAAGATCAGTGGGAGAGGTGGTGACACAGGAAAGAAAATGCTGTTCTCACCTTCAGCCTGGGAAGGGTGCTCCACACAGCCAGGATTACAAACTTTACTATTCTGAAGACCTGATATGCTGTGTATTTTGGTTTTCCATGTATGCAAATATGTGTATTTACTGGGGAGGGGGGGAGGATTCTGACCCTGGCGTTCAGAACAAACAACTGTATTTTTGCCTTTGAAATCCAGTAATCTAACGTGAATAAATGACCCTATCTTTGTAACGATGGATGGTCTTTCTTCTGATTGAAGGGAGTTTGGGTTCTTAAGTGGGGGCTGCCTGCTGGGAGGTTGTAATTAATTAGCAAAGATCTGCCTCTCCTGAGCCTGCTTTGCTTAAGGGTAGTGGATGTAGGGCCTAGAATCAGAATTTTTTGTTGTTGTTTTTGTCGGTTATGAGGCTTGAACTCTGGGCCTGAATGCTGTCCCTCAGCTTTTCAACTCAAGGCTAGCGCTCTACTACTTGAGCCACTGCTGGTTTTCTGAGTAGTTTATTGGAGATAAAAAGTCTTATGGACTTTCCTGCCCAGACTGGCTTTGAACTGTGATCCTCAGATCTCAGCCTCCTGAGTAGCTAGGATTTATAGGCATGAGCCACCAGCACCTGACAAGAAGCTTTTGATTTGAGTTGTATTTTCTTATTGTAAATGTAAATAATATCAAGTTGACCCTCCTCCTTAGAAGGCATTGAACTTTGATCCATGTCCCTAATCCTTTTGTTTTAACTTTGCTTTTGAGACAGTGTCTCTCTAGTTTTGCTTGGGCTAGCCTTGAACTTGTGACACTCCTGTCTCTGCCTTCAAAATAGCTTACAGGTATGCAACATTACGCCTGGCCTTATGTAGACACTTTTAAGGCTTAAAGAGATAATATATCTAAATATCTGATACCTCACAAATGTCATCACCAGGTGCTGATGGCTCACCTAATCCTAACTACTCAGGAAGCTGAGATCTGTTGATCACAGTTCAACCTGTCAAACAAGTCTGCAAGACTTAATCTCTAATTAACCAGCAAAAAAGCTGGAATTGGGAGCATGGCTTAAGAGGGTAGAATACCAACCATGTTTGAAAAGCCAAATGAGAGCTCATGTCCCTGAGTACAAACCCCAGTGCTGGTACCAAAAAAATGTAATTTCTAATGTGATTTCAAAATAGATTTTTCTCTAGCAGGTCTGTCTCTACACATTCTCCTGGGTTTTTTTTGGTTGTTTGTTTTGCCAGTCCTGGGCTTGAATTCAGTGCCTGGGTGCTGTCCCTGAGGTGTCTGGCTCAAGGCCAGCACTCTACCACTTGAGCCACAGCTCTACTCTCAGCTTTTTGATAGCTAATTGGAGCTAAGAGTCTCATGGACTTTCCTGCCCAGACTGTCTCCTAAGGCTACTCACAGATTTCAGCCTCCTGAGTAGCTAGGATTACAGCTGTGAGCCAAGGCTCCCAGGGACAGGCTGCTGTTTTTTGTTTGTTTTTTAACAATTGCCAGAATAGTTCAGATATAGATCTCAGAGCTATTTGCATAAGAAATTCACAGTGTAACTTAAATAAGATTTCTTATTGAAATCGAGAATTAAATCAAAGACTAAAGGATTTAATTCTTACCCACACACTTGAAACTAACCCAGGTGCCTTCTCCTAGGCCCTGGGTCAGACATCAGCAGCTTCTTGTACTGATAGTGTTGAACTTGCACTCTTGAAGAAATGACCAGGAGGAAGCCAGTGTGTGGGAGAAGCTGTCTCTGCCATCCAGAACTAACTAGGGAGCTATGGACTCTGTTAGAATGAAGAAGTAAATGTAAGCATCAGTTCAACAGAAGCCACCTCAGGGGGCACCTGGCTCTCTCTGTTGAACTGTGTGACTTCTGGAGAGATTCTTGGTAGCTTCAGGCCTGAGCAGAGGTGGCCAGGGTTCAGTTGTGGCCTTTCAGTGGTGAAGGGCAGAGAAAGATTTATTACCTGGCACAGGCAGCCATGAAAAGAAGCAAAGTACTTAAGTCCATCTTCAGCCATCTTCAGGGTATAGACATGAGGTTTAGATTTAAATAGACCTGGGACAGATGTATTAGGTAGCATAGTTAAAATAGTCCCAGCCACACATGTTATTGCCTCAGTTCTGGAAATATTGTTATTGCTGTCATCTTGTGCTCCAGACTCATTGTAGGTAATTGTCTCCATTTGTCCTGCATGGTAGTCTTGCAACAACTACCTTACAGGTATTCAGTTCCCTGCACAAAAGATGTTATCAGTTCTGTCCTTCCAGTATTCCAAAGTGACTGCAAAAGGAATGGTTTAGACTAAGACAAATACAAAATGGAGGCAGGGATGCCATGCTTTTCTCTGGCTTTTAATTAGTGGGTCCAAGTGGGAGGGCTGTGCTTCTCAGCAAGAGCAATTTAAGTTTTTGTTCAAATTTAGATTTTAAAAAATGTGAAAAGTTCAGCCTTCCCTTTCTACTCTGGTTCAAATCCAAATGCTACCTCTTTGCTAGTTTTGTCTTTTTGAATAAATGACTTAGCCTCCCTCTGCCTCGTTTTTTTAATTAAGAAGATTGACTTAAGGCAGGCATCAAACCAAATACTTGCATTTTCAAATACTCAGGAAACGAAGGGGAGAAGATTGTGAATTCAAGACCACCCTGGGATAAATTATCAATTCATTGTCTCAGAAGCAAACTATAAACAAAAGGGCTGGGGGCATGGTTTAATCGCTAGAGGTTTGCCTAGCATGCTTGAGTCCTGAGGCCCTTGGTTGAGTCCCTAGGATGTCTACCCTCCTGGGGGAACAAAGATAAATGTGGTAATACTTACAAATTATTTGAATATACCTGTTCAAAATAAGCATTATGAGGGCTGGGAATGGGGCTCAATGGTAGAGTGCTTACCTAACATCCATGAAACCCTAGGTTTGATTCCTCAGTACCACATAAACAGAAAGAGCCGGAAGTGGTGCTGTGGCTCAAGTGGTAGAGTGCTAGCTAGCCTTGAGCAAAACAGGCTCAGGGACAAGGAAAAAGGAGGAAGAAGAAGGAGGAGGAGGAGGAATAAGCATGAGTATTTTAATGCTTATTTTTTATTTTGTATGTTTATTTTTGCACAACTAGAGACTGAACCCAGGGCTTTAAACGTTCTAGACAAGTGATGTTCCAACTGAACATGTACAAAGTCCTTGTTCAATTTTTTTAAAGGTTTGTGAGCACTTACATTGAGATACACATTTACATCAGCTCAAGTGCTGGACTCTGTGCTTAGCCTCTTTAAGTACATGTCTCAAACATGGCTATATGCGTTGGGTGGTGAACAGGGGTAAGTGACTGCTCTTCTGAAGATGTCCAGGGCTGCCTAAACAGTGTTTCCCCGCCACATCCTCACCAACTGAGTGAAGGCCTTGGGAAAGGAAGACTGATGGGCTTCAAGAGACTATGAAGGGAAATCAGTAGGAGGAAGGAGATCCATGACAGGCTTCTAGACCTGCCTATTTCTTCAAGAAAAACTATCTTGGAAGCCAGGTGCTGGTGGCTCATACCTGTAATCCTAGCTACACAAGAGGCTGAGATCTGAGGATCACAGTTCAGAACGAGCCTGGGCAGGAAAGTCTGAGAGACTCTTATCTCCAATAAACAACTCAGAAAACCAGCAGTGGCACTGTGGCTCAAGTGGTAGAGTGCTGACCTTGAGCTGAAGAGCTGAGGGACAGTGCCCAGGCCCAGAGTTCAAGTCCCATGACAAACAGGGAAAAAAGAAAAGAAAAATACTATCTTGGCCAGGTGTCAGTGGCTCACAGCTGTAATCCTAGCTATTTAGGAGGCTGAGATCTGGGGATCATGGTTCAAAGCCAGCCTGGGAAAGGAAAGTCTGTGAGTCTCTTATCTCCAATAAACCACTTAGAAAACCAGAAATGGAGCCGGGGCACTGGTGGCTCACGCCTGTAATCCTAGCTACTCAGGAGGCTGAGATCTGATGATCGAGGTTCAAAGCCAGCCCGGGCAGGAGAGACCGTGAGACTCCTATCTCCAATAAACCACCAGAAAACCGGAAGTGGCGCTGTAGCTCAAGTGGTAGAGCGCTCGCCTTGAGCTGAAGAGCTGAGGGACAGCGCCCAGGCCCAGAGTTCAAGCCCCACGACCGACAAAAAAAAAGAAAACCAGAAATGGCGCTGTAGCTCAAGTGGTAGAGCGCTAGTCTTGAGCTGAAGAGCTGAGGAACATCCACCCAGGCCCAGAGTTCAAGCCCCACAACCGACAAAAAAAAGAGAGAAAATAAAAGAAATACTATCTCCTGTATCTTATTTCACCTAGGACTCAAAACCAAATCTGAGCCAGGTGGGTGAGCACTTGATCCACAGAAGAATAACCTGGGTGGTAAGTTACTGACTATAGATACTTCTGGAGGCAGGGCTAGGTGTCTAGGAAGGTGGGTGTTGGACAGGTATGAAAGGTACTTCTGCAAAGACAGTTGACTTCTCTTGACTGAGGCAGGCTCAGAATGGGGATAATAGGGCAATAAGAAGAACATACTGTTACTAATTTCCATTTGACATCCAGAAACCTTCCACCTATGTTTGGCTCTTCAGAGAAATAGGAGCTCAGACATTCCTCAGGGCTAGTTTCTGCTTGGGAATTTTTTGCCCTCTCAGAAAGGAAATGAATTGTGTTTTTTGTTTTTTGCTTTTTTTTTTCTGAGCCTGTCATGCCATACAAAGCTCATTTCCTTGTTTGGCAGAGTTCCCCAGGCAGGGAAAGTGGCTGCTACTTTCCTCTGGGCTTCAGGATCTAATTCTTCATGTGAAGCAAAGGCATCTGTATTATGGTCATTATGGATGATGGCGCCTGCAGACTGAAAATCAGAGGATCCTGATACTCCAAGACTTGTAGTTCAGCAAGATGCATGACAGGTTCACTAAGGGGTGGTGACTGTGTAGAGGGATGTCATAGTGTCTTTGCAGAAAGTGAGGGTCATGTCACCAGGCAGAGAGCCTAGGAAGGTAGCCTGAAAAAAGCCATACTCACAATGGTGGTTATCTCTGCCTCTGCCTTCCTTCTTGCTCTGTGGGTAAATAGATTCCCCTTTCAGAGCCTCCCTTCTTTCTTTCATTTTATGGTTTGCTCTCAAAATCCACCATCATTTTCCCCCTAGTTCTGCCTTTTCCTAGCAGGAAGTGTCGTGGGTTGAGATTTTCCTCTTGTCCTTGAGATTCACCTTTTCTGGGATCACAGACAGTCACAGTAGATCT